GGGTCTCATAGCAGATATTAACATTACAGGTTATAACAGTAGTAAAATTACAGTTATGAAGTAGCAACGCAAATAATCTTACGGTTGGGGGTCAGCACCACATTAGGAGCAATATGAAAGGGTTGCAGCATTTTAGGAGGGTTGAGCACCACTGATTTAGAGTAATACCTGGTGCACAGAGGGCAGAGTGGGTGAATAGATGACAGAAGCGGGTGGACACCATCAGCCTGGTGGCTCTCCTGCTTTCCCGTGCACAGTACTGCAGTTTCTTTGTGTGCTGGACTGTACTGATGAGCATTGTGATGGCTTTCTCTATATTGCATCATGTTGAAGATGCAGACTCTGCTTTGTTGTGTGTCTTTTTATGTTACTTTGTCGCAGGATGAATTATTGAATGTGGTTATTCCCAAATTAAGTCCTGTAAATATGATTAAGGACTCGTTACCCTTTGCAATGTACTCTAAAGGGATGTTATAGCTGATATTACTTCTGTTCCTGCTAGGAGCACATACGGCTCATGAATATTGTGTTTCGTCTGTATTTTTACGCTTACATATATGATATTTCTAATTGCAGGGTGGTAGTTATAGAAGCTTATGTAATCATGTCAGATGTACACTTTTGATACATGCATATGTGAAAGTAGGCACAAAACAGGGTAATTAGCATATTTCTCACCGGAGACATGTTTTCCATTAGTAATTTTAACGTTAGTATTTTCCTAAAAATAATTTTTTCTGTTAGAGTTAGTAATTTATTTAGTTAACCAGAAGAAAATGAGGATGGAAAAAGGATCGAGGATTAGTGTTCCAGTGTCTTGTTGGGTATCTCCAGGAGCCCCAATGTGAGGTTGTCCAGGTGGCAACTAAAATCACCTTAGTCGGTGTCACATCTCTTCTTATCGACGGTGGAGGCTTCCTCCCTGGGGGAGGTGTTGTTGCTGATTCTTTGGTGATGAAGATGGACAACCAGGAATGCCCATAATTTATGTTGATAGTGAGCACTGCCCCAGCTAGTTTTCAAAAGAGCTGTACACTGGGAGAGCAGGAATCCAGACACTAAGTAAGAAAGGCACTGTGAGGGAGGCTTTGTCTTTCTATGGGACTCTGGGTATACTTGGGTGATGTACAGACTTCTCTTCCTACCTCCTCTCTGCTTATCCTCATTGCTGGAGCCACCACACTCACCGAGCTCCGATTTATATGCTGTGTTCTGTTCTTTGGAGTTGTCCAGTCAGACCCAGAAAACAGACACTGAAGCAAGAAGTTCAAGAAAGCACTCCCAGGAATACTTTCTAGGGCTGAGATTCATGGAACACCGCAGTCCACACAGGGAGCTGAGTGAGGAGGGCCACAAGTTTGAGTTCACCTATCGAGACCATGTCGCAAAGAAGAGGAAGGGAGAGAAGGAGAAAGGATATTCTCATAGGAGTGTCTGGATCTATGAGTTTGGCAACTTCCCCTTGTCAGCGGATAGCCAACCTCTGGGGGAAGCATGTGAAAAGGCTTCATCTCCAGGAGAAGATATAGGTTCATATTTTTGGTTATGACAGGAGTCCACAGGTTGAGAAGACGGAGACAGTGATCCCTTGAATGAGACAAGCCCTCGGTTTTCTCTTGACCTGCCACGTCACAGTCCTTGCAGATGGTTTTCAAAGCGCCGCTCAGCTCTCCATTTGGTAATGACCTAGGTTCTGCATACCCCTGGGGCTCCCGGGTCCGTGCCTACCCACAGTCTCTCTCCCTCTGCCCTCAGGTGGATGTGGAAACATGGTCACTGTGCCATTCAAAGGTTCTCCCTGTCTCTTCAGGGATGGCGGGATCCAAACTTGAAACACAAACATAGGAGTCCTTACGAGGAAAGGACAAGGAGTTGGGTGCCCCTTCTCCCAGTGTGAAGCAAGAGGAATAAACCTAAGTGATTATGGTTCAGCTTGAGACAGCTTGTCATTGTCACGGTTCTCCCCGAGAATACATATCGTGTGAGCTTATCATGTTTGTACACTGAGCACGCTTGTCTGCTGGCTGCTCCTCTACACATCAGAATTGTCATCATTCTTGGAGTGATTTCAAAAGTTGTCCAAGTTCTTTCCGGATACTGCAGCTCATGCACCCCTTCTCAGTGCATCCCCTGCCTCCAGAGGGTTTATCTTCCCAGTGCCCCACCCCTTCCCCTATTAGCGTGGCATTTGCTAGTTCTTATCTCTAATTCTAAAGTGTGAGTCTCAGCATAGGATATACAAACCAACCTTTGAATGGTTGGACTTGCAGAACTAAAACCTTGGTGGGAGTTAATAATTGATGATTGAAAGGTTATCAGCTGGCTTTTAAAAACCTACATGATCTTGCTAAGGATTAGGAACTTGGTTGTTTTTACATTATTTTTCTTTTTAAAAAAAATCAGTTTTCTGTCCATGTAATCTTTCCAGGGTTATCTCCAGCCTGTTTACCTCTATATTTCATTTTTATAGAGAAATGGGGTGAGGAGGAGTGTCCATAAAAGGGATCTCAGAGACAGAGTACTGTACCTTTATTTTCTAATTAATTTTCTACAACATTTTGTTCTGCTCATGTGCCTTTTATTCTCCCTGTATGATAGGAATGCCAGGAACGCTGTCGGCTTTAATAGTGTATGGTGACTGTCACACAGAATATCATGGATCAGAAGGTTCTCAGAATATTGCTTTAAGGAGGTCAGAAGACACCCACAGAGAACATTAGAATCTAAACTTAGGATGGGAATAACCTAGTCATGGCTTCATAATGTAAAACCTTGTACACAGTTTTCTCCTTCATGCTGATATAAGGTAGAATTTCACGAGGTGTCCAGCCACACCAGACTTTCTCAGTTTTGCTGCAAGTTGAGTCCCCCAGGCTTTAAAGAAACATTGGCGCCTCTCATTTTGTCCAATCCCAAGGATTCTCCCTGAATCAAATCCATATGAGAGAGTTTGGACACGCCTAGTTTTAGGTGGCTCTCTTGGAAATTCCAGTTGTGGCCAATGGATGGGAACTGTTAGAGGTTTTAAAGTTGTAATTCTAACAGGATAAGAACATGTTTAGAAAGTTGTTTCTCAGCTGGGTGGTGGTGGCGCACACCTTTAATCCCAGTACTCAGGAGGTAGAGGCAGGAGGATCTCTGTGAGTTCAAGGCCAGCCTGGTCTATAAGAGATAGATCTAGGACAGGCACCAAAGTTACACAGAGAAATCCTGTCTCAGAAAAAAAAAAAAAAGAATGGAAGAAAAGAGAGAGAGAGAGAGAGAGAGAGAGAGAGAGAGAGAGAGTTTCTCAAGAGAGAGTCAGAGATCAGAGATACAGGAAGATCTTACATGGCACAAGTTTCCAATCCTGTGGTTCTTATGCACGTATAGAATACTCTCTGGAAAATTCAGTGAAACTTGAAGTATGGTCCAAGAAGAACTGGGGCCACTGGAATTGCCTGGGCTTTTTAGAAAAGCAAATCATTGGTGCCCCTCCCCCTGACACAAGGCTGCTCAGTCGTTGTCTGTGGGAGTGCAGGCCAGCAGTCTGCATCTTCCAGTACCTTTCAGAGGCTCTGATGAACTGTGAAGTGAGAAGTATTCTCATAGAGAGTGATTGCAGGATGGGGACGGAGGTATGAAAATCAACCAACCCACTGCCAGCTGCCTAGGGACAGCCCATTAGACTGAATGGGATGGCTCAAGGGACGGTGTCTCAGCTGCTGAGTGTGGCAGAGTTAGACCTGGCTGCTCTTAGCTGTCCCTCCCAGTATAGCACTCTTAGGTGTTAAAGACATTGGAGTCCAGGTGTTTGAAAGCCCCATTGACTCTCCATCCTTCGCAGGACTCCTCTCTCTAGTCCTAGACTGACTTTCCATCCAGGTGTCCATGTTGTGACACTTTGGTCTTATCTAGAAATCTGGTTCTGAAGCCTGCTTCCTGTACCTCACCAATTGTTCAAAAGCTGAAATGCAAGGAACAGCCATTTACATGTAAAGAATACTTCTAAGTGGAGCGTCGAAACTGCATTTTTAAAGGAACAACAAAAATGCTTCTTCAAACGGCTAAATATATATATATATATATATATATATATATATATATATGCCAACCCTGGTGTCCTATTTCCTAACTAAATTCATTTTAAAACCCTTTTAAATATTTCATAACATGTCATACAGCTTTGCATGTTTGCCTCAGACATCAGTAGACACACTTCATTTTTCCATGTGCATTCTTGCTGGCTGAAGAGGTTGGGGACGATCTTATCTCTTAAGTGTATTGTACTTAGATATCTGAACTATCTACCTTGTGGTCACATGTCCTCTCATCTGCTCTCTGGTTCCTTGTCTGCGCGGTGAAAGCTAGACTCCTTTTGGGTGTGACTCACCTAGCTGTTTAGCACCCAGCTATTTTGTCTTACCTCTTTTGTTTGGACTCCGATGGTTTTTGCTACGCTGTAGTTGATTTTGTTCATGTTGTAGCTTACGTGACTTGTATGCTGGTATTCTTTTGCTGCCTACAGTGAGTCTGTTGTCCAGGTCGTACAGGTGAAGGTAATGATAGCTCAGCCTTCCTTTGTCCTACCTGTACACAAGCTTTATTTTAGTTAACTTCCCAAAGTTTGTCTTCCTCATAAATTGAACTTCTTGCTATTTTTACATATCTACAAATCTTGTCTTCCTCTGCTTGGTTAGGATTTTATTAATGCCAGTTATCAAGTCTTTCATTACAGTGTCCCTAGTCCCCACCTCAAGCACACCCCTTGCCTTTGCTTAATATCTTTGACCCCTCTACACTTAACTTTTATGTCATTTTGTCGTATCAAATTTGGCCTTTTCTCCTATGATGGCTAAGGCTATTAATTAAATTCATGTTAGCTAAGTAAGGTAAGTTTTTTATATAAAGCAAACACTGGGTCTAAACCAGTTACAGTACATTGTCAGCAGATGTATCTTTTAAACGGTACTCTGAAATGGCATCCCTCTTAACATCGCATATGTATTTCCTTTCTGTAGGTGATTTTCTCCCTCCCCCACCTCCACCTTTGGATGACCCTGGTACCATTCCTCCTGGCCCTGGACACTTCCCTCCTCCTCCACCGCTGGATGAAGGTGCTTTCAAAGTGCAGGTAAGAGCAGAGGCAGATGTCAGGTTGATAAGACATGCTAGGATGTCTGTGACTTCACCAATGGTTTCTGTGTCGTGAGCATTTACCTAGGGTTATCGAGAGCTTTGCACCTTGCAAGGAGTTAACATACTTGAATGTAAAATGCCCAAGCCACACTTCTCAGAGTTCTTCTGGCTTACACTCTGAAGCCAAAGAAAACTTTTACATATTAATTTCATTTTCAAACCTAAGGTGATTTTTTTAAAGAAATGTGTTTGAGAAGTTTACACTTTTTTTTTGGCACGAACCCAGGCCTTTAAAATTTATCTTTTCTCTTTGTCCTTAAGCTATGTATTCTATATAAGTAAGAGTGATATTTAAGGCTCTGCTTATTCATTGTGGACTCTCATTGGCAGCTACATTGTTTTCATGAAAGCAATAGCAAGACACCGTAGGGCCATTTGTTTTAGGTTTTCAAAGATGAATATTATAGATGCGTATCAGTGATATATGAGTTTTGTGCTCAGGAGAGTACAGGTTACGAAGTAAGTAACTCCAGCTAAATGTTGAGTGACAAGAAAAACATTTTTGCTCTGACCAAAAGTGACTTGTGACCAGCAGCCCCACGTAAGCTTGAAGACATCATGTCAACACAGAAAAATTATAAGATTATTAAGATTGCCATTCTCAGATAAGGTGATGTTAACGTAGATATCTGAAGATAATGATACAGAATTTGTCTTAGAGAAATCCTGGCTTTTCAGATGAGATGTCATGATGTCTGATGTTTGCTTGTGTACAGTCAAGCATCATAAACCTACCAGTTACAACACAGGGACACTGTGTTAATGTTGATTGTTGTGTGGCTTGTTCTGATACTTAGTGTGCTCGCGTATGTGTGTCTGCAGTGGCCCCCAGGGAATGGGATGGAAGGGAAGCTGTAAGGAAGAATTGTCTAGGGTCTGATCTGTTGTCCTTTCTCTTGAAGTTTAGGTTGGGAGAGCAAAGCAGAAATTATTCAATTCTTTCCAAATAGTCTTCGTTCCAGTGTAGATATTATCTAAGCACTGGAGATCTTAGGGCACGAAAGGCAAGACTCATTTGGAAGCTGTGGGCCTTGCAAGTAAAGGGAGTACTTGCGGCATTGTGTATTCGGGTGGGGTTATGTGCTGGGGAAGCAGGCAAGTGGTGGCTTCCCAGAGTGGCCTTGGTGAGTGGAACCTCCTCAGGACAGCGCCATTAAACAGAGGCTTAAGGGAGAAAGGCACTATAAGCCAGATGGATTTTTGTGGAGTATATTTTCATGCGGTTTAGTCATTTTTTAATGAAATATTCTTGCTTGCTTTTTATATGCTGCTGTTTATTATTGGGATGCTTCTTTGTGTATTGGTTAATGGGCATAATTTTAAAATTCTCCTCTGTTTTCTTTCCTGGATTGTTATTAAATCTATTATGGTATGTTTTAAATATTTGTGCTGCTGAATGTCTGCAGTTTGAAAAATAGTTGAGAAGTATGTTCTAAGGCAGTGACTGTGGGCACTGACATCGAGTCCTAGCTGTCCTTTAGAAAGAAGGTAACAACGCCTCATTAAAAAGATAATGTACTGATGTGTTTCAACGGACTAGTTAATATAGCTGGGTGATATTTTGATATTACTGCTGATATTATGTAAATCAAATCGCAACAATGATAATAAGATTGTAATAGATATTGTATGAAGCTGGTAAAAATAAAGCTATGATTGTTACTATGAGAAGTTACTAATTACAGTAACAAGAAAGTTTTGCCCATGGGTTCCATTTAAAAATCATCTAACCCCTCAACATAGACTCTTTCAAATAATTGCCCCTTGCTTGACTTTTATCAGTGTTGGATAGTTCATTGTAAACATCTTTCATATCCTTAAAATATTATATTCCAATTTATTTATGTTTTTGTAGCTATTATGAATGTGACTTCTTTTTGGTTATTTCTTTTTCAGAGTTGACTGTTAATATAATTAACCTACTTACCCTTATAGGTTGATTTGATATCCTGCAATTTTTTAAAATTTATTAATTTAATGTTTCCTTGAGACTTGGACTTGTCTGTGTGTTCACTTTGTCCGAACAGGCACAATTCGTCTTCCTCCTTTTCCAGTTTGGACCCCCTTTCATTCTTTGTCTTGTCTAATTTCCCTGGCGAGGACCGCCAGTTCTGTGCCGAACAGAAGCAGGGAAAGTGGTGTCCTTGCCCTGTTCCTGGGGCTTTCATGAAAGTCACAAAAAGTCCCTTTCTATGTGGACTTTGTTCTGATAAATGTACTCAAGCCATGACTTTGTTTTTGAAGAGGAAGGAAATAAACAAGAATCCTGTTGCCATGTTGGCTTATGTTCTCTGTAAAACAGAAGGGAAGATGATAAAAAAATAAAGCAATGTTTGCCAAATGGAAAAGGACAAATCTGGTAGGGAGAGGGAGTTGTTTTTGAAGCTCTTCCTATGACATTCTTGGTAACTTAAAAACGAAGCCCATGTCCCTCTGTCAGGCAAGAGCAAGATGGATGTGACAGCGGCTGACCCTGCTCTGGCCTTGCATCAGCACCATTAGATGGAGCTCAGTACAGCCGAAACAGTGTAATCACTGGGGACGATTTTGCACGTTTTCCTCTCAACTCTGGTAAAGCCTCATCTTGCCAATTCCAAATCATAGCTGGTAAATGTGTGTTTTATGTAGAAGTCTGTTTATATTTCCATCCAGATTTTCAACTCGGAGCCAGAAGACTGTCTACTAAGTAGGGCTATTGCAAGATACTCAGGGCTGAAAGGGACTTCGGTGGTCATTGAGTCCAACCTTAGGGCGAGATGTCTAGAATAAAGTACTTTCCATCCCCCACTGATGGAATTAATTCCCGACCCTCTTTGAAAATGGGACGTCTGAGACCCAAAGAGGTGTCTGTAGATACTGTTGTTCTAACCGAACTCTCACCTAGAAGCCTTCCCTCTTGGCCGTAGCTCCCCTCTCCCACTGTTGATTTTTTATACTGTACTTGGCCTGTCTTAGTACTCTCTTAGGCTGTCAGGCTCTCGGATGCAGAGTAGGGGGTTGCATGTTGTATCTGGCAAGAACAGGTGCTGCTGGAGTTTCACTTGGCTCTGTGCATTTATGATATATGTTACATAAACTTCCATACAAAAGTAATAAATATTTATTGCAAAAGTATTCTTGTCTTGAGAATTCGCTTTTTTTTTTTTTATGGGAGAGATGAAACTGAACAGAAATGGGAGATTTGATTTGCTTTCTTTGCCAGAGTCCATTTAACTTTTCTGCCTGTAAAGTGTGCGCTGGCCCCTTGACAGTCCCTGCTTTCATTTGTTCTTTACTCTTTCAGAGTAAAGTGAATGTACTCAGTAGGTAGGCACATTGTGCTCCAGGTAGTCTAGCCTCAGAACTCGGCCTCCTCCGTCTGGCAGTCGAGGAGTTCAACCTTGGCACTTTGCTCTTAGGGGATGTCACAGTCTGTAAATTCTCCTTTCGGTCAGCCCAAGAGCAGGTGCACAACATTGCTTATCACTTGGATAAGACAACAGAATATCCTTTGTAAGGTATTTTAAAATATCTTTTAATAGGTCTTATTTTCCAGGAAATTTGACATCAGACTTTTTAAGTCTTTCTATTGTTTAGTTGGTAGGGTTTTTGCTATTTTCTTAATTTTCGTAAGGAAAAGATCACATATATAGTGAGGCAATGGTATGGTGGTAGATAAAGAGATAGATTGTTAGATTAGATGTAACACACACTGTAGCAGGAGCTGCGGCGGGCCTGCTTTTTGTCCCGCCCGGCTCCCGCATGGCTAGCTTTACACCCAAAATAACACACAAATTGTATTTATTTAAACACTTCCTGGCCCATTATCTCCAGTCCATTATTGGCTAACTATCACATATTGATCTAACCCATTTCTAATATCTGTATTGCCACTTGACTGTGGCTTACCAGTATGAGTCTAACCAGCGTCCATCTCGGAGGGGAGAGTCATGGCGTCTGACTTACTTCCCTTCTTCCCAGCATTCTGTTCTGTCTACTCCACCTACCTATGTTCTGACCTATCAGACCAAGCAGTTTCTTTCTTAATTAAGCAATGAAAGCAACACATAGAAAGAAGACCCACCTACATCAACACACACACACACACACGTGTGTGTGCTCTCATGTGCATGTACCACACACGGAGGAAACAAATCACATGCACATAGCTCTGAGTTGCTTGATGGCTTCCCAAGCTCCTTTAACTGGCCCTGTATGCGACACTTTGGCTTGGTCTTTCCATGACCTCCAGGAAACCACCTTTTGCTTGGCCTGGTTGTGGTCTGACTCTGTAGCTTGGTTCTCCTTTCCTGGTGTGCAACAGTTGCAATCGGTTGTTTTTTTCTCTGTTCATATTTACTCAGGCCAGCACATATATATATATATGTGTGTGTGTGTGTGTGTGTGTGTGTGTGTGTATATACATATATACACACACACACACTGATTGGTTCACTGTTAAAATTTTCATATTCAAATGCAATCTTTCTCTTTAACATTTATTTTTCGTACCTTGATTACTTTACTCCTTGAAAATGGTGCACAAAGGGTCAGTTGGGGCTGGACGGGGTGGAGAGGGCAGTATACCACAAAGAGATGGTCAGCAAAGCTGTGGAGAGAGGCTGGCATGTTAAGGCTAAAGTGAACACCGTACTGTGAACTAGCCTCAGAATTACCAGTACATAGGAAGAAGAAACCCCCCAATTCCTTTCTTAAAGTGAGATTCGACACCTTTAAGCAAACTCACCTTTTGTGAAAAGAATTAAAAACACATACACACACACACACACACATGATGGCTGATACTTTCCTATTTTCCCATTTTACACAGTTTAGGCATAATGACCCCAAGTCCACAGCCACGGCCACCTTCCTTTGTGAGCCCACAGAAACTAGCAGCTGACTTTTACCATAGTTTGAATGATTCTTATCACAGAGGTTTCCTCTTCCTCTGCC